ATACACTACAATTTCATTCTAGAAGACTTAAATTCTATGTCCCCAATGAGGAGCCTTCCCTTATCCCAGCTATCTAGGTTAGGGATATTTTTTTTTTATCTTTACCTCTACAGCACCCTATGGTTTCCCTATTAAACACTTTATCAAGTTATATCATATTTTAAATAGTTCATGTTAATTTCCTGTGTCTCTCTATGGTGTGAGGCTCTCTGACACCAAGATTAATTCCTGGTTCATGTCTATATTCCAAGAATGAAGCACAGAGCCTGGCATTGTAAGAACTCAAATATGTTTGTTGGAACAAACTAATTTGTCTTGAATGGGGTTGGTGAACCTAATTCCTAATTCCTCCTCATGCAGGATGTTTCCTACAAAATGTGATTTGAGAGGCTCCAAAGATCCCACCAACCCTTGGCCACCTGAAGTAGTCAGGGCAAGCCAGGACCTCTGATCTTTCAGCTGCCCAGTGCCCCTTAAGCTGGATCACAGGTCTTTGAGCAATGACCTGGGTGACCTGGGGTTAGACAAATAATAGCTCCCATGTCACAAGACACCTTACATATATGGGATAATTAGATCCTTACAAATGCCTTGAGAGGGAGATATTATCTTGCCCCTCTTGCATTAAAAGAAGTGGGCTCAGAGAGAATATATCTAAGTCTTCAGAGCTACTGTTGGGTTGAGCTAGTACTCAAATCAGATGTGTGTCACCAAAGAGCATACTCTCTTGGTTGACACTACACTATGCTGGCTAGTGTATGGCTAGTCATAGGAAAATTCAGAAAGCAAAAGAGAATCTTGACAAGTGGGCCAGTAAGTTTCACATCCTTCAAGATCCCAAAGGATTGAGCCTAAACCCCTAAATGAGTTTCTTTCTTTCTTTTCTAGGTCCTACTGGGCAGATATATGGTAGAGGGATGGGACACCTAAATTCAATCCAGCATATTTTTCTTGTGAGGGTTAGCCTGCATGGGTCCACTAATCTTCTAGAGGATTCACCTTAGTTGGGGACTTGGTAATGAGGGTCCTAAGAAGCTCATATACTGTGAGTACCTTGATCAACCATACACCCATTCAGTCACAGAGAAGGCAAAGGTTGTTTTCAACCACAATCCTTGGAATGTCTCCAGCCTCTCCCTCTACCTTTGTACCCACCCCACACACAGCCCGTTCCCACGTTGCAGAGACTCTACACCAAATGTATTGATATAACTTGAATTCACAAGTTATAGACAGTAAGCACAGATGTGTCAAATTTCCTGCTTTGTAGACTTTGGTGAGAAAAGAACATTAACTTTTTTCTTTGCATTTTCTATATGCAAAGTTAGAGTACAAATAGTTTTCTTGCTTCTTTTTTTTAAAAAATGAAAATACCTAGTATTGAGGACCATGGAGACAAAGGAGTACTTTCATACAAGGATGCTAAGAATTCACGTTAGTCCTTCTAGAAGGTGACTTCATAACACATAGAAAAATCTAGAAAGGTGCATACACTTCACCCTAGCAATTCCAAGTCAGGTGTCAGCAAACCATAGCTCACAGGCCAAACCCACCCCACTATTTTCATAAATAGTTTTCTGTAACACGACCATGTCCATTCTGTTACATGTCACCCATAGCTGATTCTATGTGACAATGGCAAAGCTAAGCAGTTGAGACAGAGATCATGAGGCCTACAAAGTCCAAACTATCCATCCTCTAGAGCTTTACACAAAGTGTGCTGACCCCTTTCCAGAGTCATGGAAAAAAACATCACTGGGCTGCTGCCCACTTAGGTCCCTTGCGTGGCCACCCATGTCCCTCTTCAAAGGACAAGGCTTCCACCCTCTCAGTGCCAAGTTGGTGGCTGTAATGTCCTTAGGCTTCCAGGCCAGAGATCTACAACTCTGCTTGCTCAGCTCTATGTACAGCCAAAGGGCAAGCCCACCCAGGAGAGCTGTGTCAGAGGTCGTGGCTCAGTCATCTGCCTGTCTAATCCTCTTCTCTACCCTGCAACTCCTTCCCTGAACTCTGTTCCCTCCACCTCTGGAGTCTTTGAGAGAATCCAGACCACTGCAACAGAGACATGGAAGATTTGTAAAGCTCATTTCCCCTTACAAGGAACACTAATTGCCTCTGGTGGTAGACCTCTCCTTCCACTTTGAGAAAGGAAGCCACATTCTTGCCTCAAAAGTGAATCATCCTCCCAAGAAAGACCATGATAGTTTCTGGGTTTTTTTTCTTCACTATAGGAAAAAAAATGTTAGATGTCTAACATGGAGCCCTGTTATATATGTTTCATTTTATAATTGAAAAATTAATAAAGCTATTTTTAAAAATAATTTTAAGAAGCTTAGTTCACAGGTGGTTTTGAAGACAAGGTAAGATTATGCAAACTAGATTTTATAAATTCTAATGTGCTTCATAGACATAAGGTGGAATTATGATGAACAAAATTTGATATTCCAAAATGATTAGCGGGGATTATTGTGTATATTGCAAACGTTGTGTTTATAGCCTATCACATATTTCTTATAAGAATTAAATTCACTTAAAGCAAATCTCACAAAATGAATAAACCATACATAAAAATAATTGTGTACGTACGCTTCCTTTTCCCCATGGTATAGCTTATGAAACTTTAACAAACCCCCAAAACAGATAAAAACAAAACTGTTCATTTGAATACAGCCCTACTCACTGGGTATGTCCAAGATGTACTGAGCTGGGCCACAGGACATCTAAAAAAAAACCCTGGGTTTTGCAGAATTAACAAAAAGAGAGTACTTGCCAGGTCTATAATTTATGGAAAGTTGGCAATGGAAGAAAAGTTAGGAAATGTTCTGAGCCCATTCCTCATTTTCCAGACCAGGAACTGGTTTCAAAAGGAAAGAAATACAAGACATACTTTGCTCACAGTCACGGGGAACTCACTGGTGATGGACCCAGGCTCACACTTAGATCCTCTGCCTCTAGGAGTAGGCTCTTCTCTACCTTCTCCCCTCTGTCCCCAACCAAAAAAAAATAAATGCATCAGAAACATGCCTGAAGATGTAAAGTGAGATCCACTTGGAGAAGGCTCAGAAGATGTTAGGTTCTCAAAGGGGAGGAGAGCTCCCTGACCCTCCTAAGAGGCTTTAAGGGACCAGGTCACCGTGCGCCGAGCAGCAGGCATCCTGCGCCGTCAGGGCTGCCAGGCCTCCCACCATTCATCACTCCCCTCTGAACCACTTTCCAGACCTACCCTGGACTAGACTTCCTGACAGGTTGTATATTGTTTCCTTCTCTGAGCTCAGCGTTCATTTTTCTCCCATTTATGGCCCTGCCTTACCCTTTGGCAAAGCACTAACCACAGTTCCCCTGCTTTGCTCGATTCAACCTAGGTTATAAGCACCAGCACACTCCCTCCCTCTGGGTGGCCCACTAAGACCTTTGCCCTTCCAGCAGGACTCTGGCGAGACTGAGACTGAGGACGACTCTTTCCTGCAGGACCCAGTCATTGCACTGTGCAACGGAGAGGCTCAGACTCCCTGGGAGCACTCATTTGCTGAATTTTGCCCTTGCAGCTGGAAGTGTTGGCACTTTAAGTGTCACTATTAGAGGGTACACACGCATGCAAGTAAATCTGAGTGTCTCTTACTCAACTGGCAGGATCTGCGTTCGTACTACTAATTAATATTACTTGGCATTTACAAAAGATCTCTTAGCTTTGAAAATGCCTCCCAAGCACATATTCATGGACCAGACTTGCCAGCTCCAAATATTTTCACTCTACCTCCCAGGCCTGTGGGTATTTATCTAAGCCACACCCATGCCCCATGAGGCACTTTCAGCATAAACTCTGACTTGAGCAGCTGACAAGAGCTCAGGAAACCCCATTTTCTCAAGCTTGCCACCTGGACCTCCATAGATTATCTAATACAAGTGACTCCCTCCAAGAGGGTCTCAAAGGAGCACTGTTTCCACGAGCCTCAGAGAAAAGAAATTTAATTGAGTATTTTATTGTCACAAGAGATGATATGCATAAAATTTTCAATTCAGAAAGTTTTGAATTCAAAACCTAGACCTCCCCCTGGGAAGAATATCTAACCTCAGAGTCCCAGGTATTTATTTCATAGCTAAAACAGAGATGATAATGTCTAAATGAGCTCTTATTAGAATGAAAGATAAAGAATCCGATAGTTTTGGAGTAAATACCTGGCATCTTGTAGATTATGCTCATTGATCTGTTCATGTGTTATATGGTATTAACTTACAAAACCCTGTGAGTTAGGCATCATTACTGCTGTCTCTTTAACGATGGGGAAACTGAGGTATATGGATTGACCAGAGTCATAGAGAGATTGAGTCGCATGAACCAGACAGCAATTGGGTGTGGAGCTGGGTCTTCAGCCTGGGCAATCTGGCTCCAGAGCATGATCTCTGGGCCACCCTGCTGTCCTGCCACTTGACAATAGTTCTCAAAGGACGGCAGCCATTGGTCCTGCCATCATACTGGGAGGACAGTCCTGCTCGTCTGAGTTGGGGGTCCAGGTGAGGGTGCAGCCTACTCTGCTGCCCTACTCCTTGCCCTTTTTGGTTTTCTTGAATTCGGAAAAACAAAATCTTATGTGGGCTTTGTTATTTCTAGTGGTAATAATACTACTACTAAACAACTATTAGAAAGTATTTGGCAAATGTTTCCTCTGTTTCTGGTACTTTTTGGTCATTTTTGGAAAGAGGAAACTCCTGGAAATCGGTGATATGAGCTGAGCCCCAGTTTCACTCTCTTCTTCTGTCTTTCTCTGAAAACAGTTTTCTTGCCTATAAAAATGAAATCATAGCATCTTAACTCAGAGGAGTGCTGGAAAGGGAAAAGATGATGTTAAGGTTCTTTTCAGCTCAAAGGTTCTCAAAGATCTTTTCTGTGTTATTGGTGAGAACTTCTAACAAAGTGCTTTACTGAGACAGACGTGACGTGGATGTAAGCATTCCGCATGAAATCTCAACCTTCCAGGGGCCTGGATTTACCCAAGATGCCTGTAAACTGACAGTTCTGTCTCTCTTTCCACTTTGGCAGAAATATCACAGCCTTCAACGTGTTCAATTAGCCTTTTTGGCAGTAGCTGCTCTTGCCAGATCCTGTATGAGGCTGCAAAAACACAGAAATGCATAAAACACAAACCCTGGGAGGGAACACCCCACCATGTGATAAACGCAACGATGGCAGAACGGTTGCTTAGGAAATAGAGTAAGCATCTGTAACAGAGCCCAGGAAAGATTTCACGGAGAAGGCAGATTTCTGGGCTGGATCCTAAGGATTGAGTAAGTTGGATGGAGGTTGGGGTGATGGTGAGGGCCCAGGGCTGGGAAGGAAGGGCACTCCTAGCAGAAAGAAACAGAGGATGGGAAGGCGTGCAGGTATGAAGCATGACAGTGCGATGGGGCGATTGCTAACGCTCGTACTTTATTATGTCTGGGAGAGGCAGTGCTAGGGTGGTGGGCAGAGGTACATCTGGAAGGACCTTGCATGCCGAAACTCAGGAGCTTGGGATTACATCTCCTTCTGTGTTCAGAATGTGCAGAAACATCACGTGGCCTGGATCGCGTCCCTCTGGCCCCGTTGCCCCCCGTTCTCTGACCATGACACGTCTCCCTTCACTTCCCCTCTGTCACCCCTCCCTCCCGCCACCACCCACAAGGTACCTGAAATGCTTACGGCAGCAGAGAGTGGGAGCTGCTCCCCAGAGCAGTGGAAAAATAAGCCGCTGAAAGGTTTATTTCCCCGCTCAGAATATTTTTACAAAGGAAATCCACAAGGCTTGTCACCACACACTCAACTATTTTTAAGCTTCCTGACCAGATCAGCTAGATAGGCCCTTTGGGGACGGTAAGTGGCGGCAGGGAGGTAGGAGTTGCTCTTGGCTTTGGGTACCCTGGGTCTTCCGGGAGCCCTGGGGATTTGGTTTGGCCAGAGAAGGTTCCTGGAGGAGGGAGTGGGGGTGCAGTGGAAGCAGTCGTCCTCCTGTTTTGAGCGCCTCGTTCTTCTTCCCTGACCACCAGAAATCCCAGCCCCTCGCCTTCCAGTGGGACAAGGGCTGCCAAGAGAAATGAAGCCTTGATTCTTCCTCCCCCTATACCGCTGTGTCATGGAGCAGGCCACAGATAACGGGGCTTTAATTGATTTTTGTCCCATAAGCTCGGCCGGGGGCATGACTCAGCCAAGCAGATTCCTTTCTCTTCTCCCACATTGACCGAGGCCTCAGCCAGATGGGGCAGGTGGGCGGGAGGCTGAAAAGCCAGAAAGGGCAAGTCTGTGTGGGTGCCAGGGCATCCTCAGCGTTTCCAACAATGGTGTTCCTCAGCCCCTGAGGTCCCAAAGCCAGTCCAAATATAAGGTCAAGTGGAAATGTTCCAGGGTTTTCTGGGAACTAAGAATGAAATTGTCACATTTTTATCTGAATAATGATGAAATGTGGCTGCTTATGAAAGAAAAGGCATGACTGTGTGTCTGTCGTGCAAAGCAGGGTCATCAGGTTGAATCTGTGCAGTGATTTCCATGACCGATTATCTGCACGTTTTATCAGGGTTTACCAGGTGTTTGTCACACTTGTCATACTCCAAATCACGTGGTGAGGGTAGGACAATGGCATCCTCCTTGTTTTATATATGAAGCAACCTCTGCAAACATCTGAATGTGGCAGAGTACGTACAAGATACAGCTCTTTTGAGTCCTGGACAAGATTTTACACATATGCATTTTATATAGTCAGTGGAAAATTTTTAAAGAGTATGTTCTTAGTATTACTTATGATAAATAATAGAACTATAATGACTAAGAGTCCTCTGAAGCTTTGGGGAGAGATTAACTAAGTTTCCTAATGAAATGAAACCTGTAAATAGCAAAGCTAAGATGTCAAACTGAATCTGTCTGGCACAAAATGTGTGGGTTTTCCTACTTTCTATAGTGTTCTTCATCTCTTTTATTTCTGCTTACATTCAAACTTAGTATTTTGTGTTCTGCCAGGCATACTTGTGAGAATTGCAAAGATAGGGGTGCTTACCTGCTTTGGGGCGTATTTATCAGCTCTTGCTTTGGCCACCTTGCCACTGCTTCTCAGGCTGTTCTAGCTTCCTCCGGTCCCTTTCTATTCCATTCTGCAAATGCTATTCCACACGTCAGTCACCTGTGTGCACAAAGATCTGCAGTAACAAGATGACACTATCACACATGAAACAATCCAAGATTAGGAGTAGGTATTACTATTCTGAAAGGTCATGAGCCATTTCCTTCCTTAGGGGGGATATTTTTCTGCCTACCTCTGCCCACCACAGTGTTCCTGGGACCTTCTCTTTTCCGTTTCCTCTTGACCTCAGTTTCAGGGCCTGATCATCTATATTTGGCACTCTAGCATTTTGACTAGACAATAAAAATTACCTTTTGAGTTTTTGAGGCAGGACTGCGAGAAGATTAGCTACTTCTCCTCATGGAGCCAGGTCTCTAAGATAGGGATCACCACAGAGGATAAGGAAATTCATAGGCAACAGAAAGAAATAAAAGAATACACAGAGACTAAGGTATAGTTTGTAGTTTTATAGATATAGATCAGATAAAACACATCGGGAGGTTCCTAGGGGACTGCCAGCCATCTGGTTAGATTCATACAGGTTTTTATAATCACAGACATCAATTACCAGTTGTCAGGGTAACATATTTGCATATCAGAGAATGAGGTTACTAGGGGATACAGGTAGTGGGTTAGAATCAAAAGTCCTCTCAAGGGGCTTCTAATCTATCTAGGTGAACAAACAGGTATAAAGTCTTTTAGGGGCTAACTTCTAAGAGGTAGTTGTTGTGAATTAACAAAGGTAAAACAAAAGAGGTATAGTGACTCAATATATCTTTGATTAGTTATGGTGAACTTAAAGGTAGACAGACAGGAGAGAGCAGGAAGCCCATTTCTAATAAAACAAGTTGTTTATAACCACCGGGCCACTTCTCTGGACAAAGTGTACTCATTGTCTCCGGCTCCCATCCTGTGGGCCATGTTTGCCTTGTCTTGTCTTTCAAGACACAGGGAAGCTCACAGATTTTGAGATACCGGAAAGCCTTCCTGGAAAACATCCCCACCGGAGATTTGAGAGCTCTCCCATGATAGCAGCCTCTAATAAGTGAACCATTGAGTCCACACATTCCTTCAGCGCAAAACCCTGCAAACTCCTGTTTCTGTCTTTAACATAGTTATATTGGGTTATACAATAAAATAATGGTCTTATGAGCCATATCTCATTAATTCCTCAATCATATTTTCCCAACATTAGAGTTCTTTGGCACATCAGCCCCCTCCAACTCTCCATCTCTAATCAGAAAGAAAAAAATTCTATCTATGGCTCCTTCCTAGGAGCATAAAAGCCTTTATCAGAGGCCCCCAGAAAGTTTCACTCTCAAGTCCCACCTCTGCTCCTAAACCAATCACTGGAGAAGGGGGTGGACAGGAAACCAATAAGGATTTTCTCCTAGAGCGAGGGATAGAAGCGTTCTCCTCTTCACCTATGGGGAAGGGGTAACATCTGAAAGAGCTTGCAGCAGCACAAGCAAAAAAATAAGAGCACATTTTAGTGTGCCTATAACTGTCGTTAGCTGTTGTAACAATCCACAAGTCATAGCAGTTTTGATTATTTTTGACTTCTAACATGACATTTATTTACACATTTTATCAGTTCAGGGACGCGAGTGAACGAAGGCATGTGATGATGATTTCTAGTTGATATAGAGTGAAAACATAAATATAAATATAGTTTGAAAAAAATATCTTAGGCATTTCTTATTTTACTGGATAAAATTCCATTTCCCTCCCACAATTAAACATTTCTCTATTTTATAGAAGTTTATTTCTCACTTACCCAGGACCTGACGTAGGCTAGATGGCTGTCCTGAATGATTTTCCCAAAGTAGGGATCCAGGAACCTGGACCCCTTTCATCCTATGTTTCTACCATCTCAAAGCCTCCCCTTCTGGCTGCAGGGGTGAAGGAGGGAGTTGAAGAGTTGAAGAGAGGCACATTAACCACCTCCCCTGGAAGTGGCCACATTACTTCCACTCATATTCCATTGGGCAGAAATAGTCACATGGTCAACTCAAGCGCAAGGGAGGCTGGGAAATGTCAAGGAGCACATGGGTATCAACAAGTACTAGCAGCTTATGACACAGTGGACGACTCAACGAGCCAGGAATGTGTTTCCTTCAATAAGAGAGTCATCTAATCCAAGTCTCCACTTTTAACAATACAAAAAAGTTCTAGAGTTAAGGCCTAAAAGTTAACCAGAATTAACCAGAAGTTCTAGAGTTAAGGCCTAGAAGTTCTAGGCCTTTTCTTAGGCCAGGCATGGTGGCTCATACCTATAATCCTAACACTCTGAGAGGCTGAGGTGGGTGGGTTGTTCAAGGTCAGGAGTTCAAAACCAGCCTGAGCAAGAGCGAGACCCCTAAAAAAAATACTAAAAAAAATAGAAAGAAATTAATTGGCCAACTAAAAATATATAGAAAAAATTAGCCAGGCATGGTGGCGCATGCCTGTAGTCCCAGTTACTTGGGAGGCTGAGACAGAAGAATCGCTTGAGCCCAGGAGTTTGAGGTTGCTGTGAGCTAGGCTGACACCACGGCAGTCTAGCCCGGGCAACAAAGTAAGACCCTGTCTCCAAAAAAACCTTTTCTTAAATCTTCAATTGTTTGACACCAAATCTTTAGGCCAGGTTCAATGTATAATACCTGTGCTTCCCTACTGGATCAACCTCTTTCCCCAGCATTTACTTAAAATGTAAACAATGGTATGGTGGGCACAGAATTTTTTTCCCATTGCCCAATGGAAACACGAAGTGTTATTTTTTTTTTCTCTCGTTATCCCCCATCTCCTTTCATCTGTGTTGAGTTTATCACCCTACAGAAGTTACACAGTAACAAATCTTAGTCTCAAAATTTCATTTCACTAAGTTAAAAAACTATTCTTTAAGCTGCCTTTTTGCAAATCAAAACTCTTCTTCCTCACCATTTTCTCTCTATTTTGGCAGACAATCAAGAATTATGTCATAGCCTTGCGGTCTGGGTCTCCTTGACGGAGGCTTGTTGGGGATGGAGCTAAGAATGAGGAAATTTGGATGCTTTCCAGTTGAATTCTATGGCTTGCTTCCTGTGGTAGCCTTTCGCCTCCAGAAAATTCCAGGGGAATCCAGTGTGGGCCGCGTCTGACAGGAAGTTAAAGACTCCAACTCTGTCCCCAGTGGAGACTAGGCTTTGTTGCTTAGTCACAGTTAGTTCATAGAAAGGAACAGGTCCCTTGGCTTTGTTCAAAGACCCAAAGACATTACCAAGCTTTTAGTGCACACGGGAGGCCCAAGAACAAGAACTGGAAATAGGAAATTGCAAGAAACAGCCTCTAACCCTAATGAGTTTTCTCTAAGTGGATTAACATTCTTAATTCTTCTCTGCCATAATCAAAGTTGCCATTTACCTTCATGGAAAGAGCACTGGCCTCAATATCCAGCTGAAGTAGATTTGAATTTTTACCCAGCTTTGCTATATAAGCAAACTTTGGGACCTTGAGAGAAACAGCCCAGTCTCTGAGTGTATTCTACCACTGAACATTAGGTAAACTGTAGTGTTCTTTCCAATATGAGGGGTCGTGTCACTTTTATTGCTGTGTCCCAGCACTTAGCACTTGGTCTGTTATGAAATAGTATCACTAATCATTGCTGAATGATTAATGAATGAGATCTGTGGATTTTTCTTCTTAAATCTTATAATAGAGTGAAATAATCATAAATCATTGCATTTCTATTGTACAAACTCATACAGATTCCACACGCTGTTCTCATATGGTTTAATCACCATCAACATTGTTGAATGTGAATAATTACAACTATGGGTAATTTAGAAGATTTGGATAATTGAGCTTTAAAAACAAATGTAATGTGATTCCCACAGTACAGTGTCTCCAATTCTGCTAGCCTCAGGGCAGGACAACCCATCGCACACTAATTTTGTCACGGAACTTAAAATCAGCCACCTTTGTGTAAATACAAAGAAATTTTTCTTTCCTTGAAATAATGTGCCTAAAAATATGTAGAGATTGCTTGACACCTATAATATAATTATGAAAGTCTGTAAGAACTTTATGACTTTACTAAAATTGAAATGCGCCAACAACTTAATGCAGATGGACCTTATACTTCTCCAAATCCTGTCATATCCTATATAGGCATAGGTTTCAAAGCACAGACTGATATTCAGTAAGAGAAAGAAAGAGAAAGAGAGGCAAGAGAGAGAGACAGAGATAGAACAAGAACAATGTACATTATCCATCCTGTTGCAAAAGATGCCTGTAACATTTAAATGCAGACCCTTAGAACAGTGGTTCTTATACTGATCAAGGTTGCTCCTATAACTTGGTTGTGGGATCATTTAAGTGCAAATGAGATCCCCAGGTAAAAAATCGATCACTATCAAATAAAGATGAAGGTAATTAATTACATTAATATAAAATATATAATCATTGTATTAGGCTTAAAATAATTACCTTAATTTGGACTGCTATAACAGAATACCAGAGACTGGGTGGCTTAAACAACAAACACTTATTGCTCACTGTTTTGGAGGGTGGAATGTCCAAGATCAAGCTGCCAGAAGATCTGGTGTCTGGTGAGGGTCCTCTTCCTGGTTTGTAGACAGCTCTCTTTTCATTGCATCCTCACATGGTAGACAGAGATGGATCTTGTGTCTCCCTATTTTATAAGGATATTAATCTCAACATGAATCATGTCATGATTATTCTCATGACATAATCTAACCCTAATTAACTCCCCAAAACTCTACCTCCAATTATCAGGAGTGGAGTTTCAACATATGAATTTTGGGAGACACAAACATTCACCCCGTAAGAGTGACATATTGTAATCTTTATCACTTATATAAGCATAATGCAATTTATTATTGCCTTTACAAGTTCTAATTTAGAGTTTGCTGCATTTACTGAAAATTTACCAAATCTCACGTTCACTCACCATGTCATCAGGGACCCTAGCTGAAACTGTCCTCCAGTATTTTTGGTGAGATATATTTTATTTTAGTGATAAATGAATTAATTTTCCAGTTTCTCTAGAAGTGGATGCTCAAATTTACCTTTGAGGGCTGATTATGCCTTTTTGGGAGGAGTAGGAGGTCCAACACCCTAATGAAACTTTGTTTCTTAGAGAAAAACAAGGTTCCAATTATTTCACCATAATGAGAAGATAAACTATTTTGTGCATGATAGCATGAAGTCAGCCATCGATGTGGGTAGATGTGCAAGTTCTGTAGATTATTTTTCCTTTCATGAAAGCCGTGTGTGTGTGTGTGTGTGTGTGTGTGTGTGTGTGTGTGTGTTTTCTAAGTACAGGGAGAGTCATGATAGTAGTGATGCAGCTTCATATGGTGATTGTTTGAGCCAGTTTGCAAATTGCTTTGCACATTTTAACCCAAGTAATCCTTGCAGCAACTTTATGAGGCAAACACTATTATTATCCCCACTCTACAGAGGTGTAAACTAAGACACATAGAAGTAACTTGCCCAGGGTCACACAATCAGTAAGTAGCAGAACCTGGATTCAAACTGAGGCATCTTGATGGACACTCTCACTGGGAAGACACAAGCTGCCTTTTGCAAAACAATCACCCATTGAGAGTGGGTTGAAAGGTTAAGAAAATAGATTGCCAATTGGCAACCCAATTAAAAAGATTTATAAATTGCCTTAGAATAAGTTGCCTCAGACAGAATAATAAATGGTGGAAGTTAAGCTTGCATTTTACCAAAACCCATCACAAGGTAGGTGGCACTCATTGATAAGTGCCATGTAATCATTGTATTTGTCTGTGTGCTGAGTCCTTAGCTTGTCCTAAGTCCTTTTTTTTTGAGACAGAGTCTCACTCTGTTGCCCACGCTAGAGTGAGTGCCATGGCGTCAGCCTAGCTCACAGCAACCTCAAACTCCTGGGGTCAGGTGATCCTCCTGCCTCAGCCTCCCGAGTAGCTGGGACTACAGGCATGTGCCACCATGCCCGGCTAATTTTTTCTATATATATTAGTTGGCCAATTAATTTCTTTCTATTTATAGTAGAGACGGGGTCTCGCTCTTGCTCAGGCTGGTTTCGAACTCCTGACCTCGAGCAATCCGCCCACCTCGGCCTCCCAGAGTGCTAGGATTACAGGCGTGAGTCACCGTGCCCAGCAGCTTGTCCTAAGTTCTTTATATGAATTATCTCATTCATTTATTCCTTAGAGCAGTGTACCATTTCGGTGAAGAAGGAAATCAAAGATCAACATACAATAAGCTGTGTGAGGTTTAGAACTCTGGGATAAAAGGGAAGAATACAGTGAATTCAGACACAGGTTGGAAAGCGAAGTGCAAGGTGGACAGAGGTCACAAGTTGATGGCTCAGGTTGGGAAAGAGGCTCTTGTCAGATTCTGGCAACACGGATCACAGTGGTCCTGGCACATTTGAGGGAGAGAACAGAGCCACCAACATTGACCAAATATTTCATGTTACGGTCGAGTAAGTTTGGCCCATTCCATGGAAGAGGAGAACACTTTCAGGGGCAGTCATCATGAAAAGTCTTGTCAGTGTCACCGGAGGTTACAGTGAGCCTCCCACCCAATTTCATGTTTGCATCTCCTAAGATGGAGGTTTACTTTTAGCCTCTTGAAAGGAAAGACACACATAAAGGGACATAAGATGAGCAATTCTAAATTAGAAAATTGAAATAAGAATGGGAAGACAGTAAGATTATGAGAACTCTATTTTTCATCCTTCCATTAAAATAATAGCTGAATTAAATTTCATGCCAGGATAAATATGGCACTGTGGAAATTTCAGATCCTAATGTCTAGAATTTAATTCCCTTAAGATATCCTTAGTAACCCTATGAATTAGTGTTAAAAAGTGTGATAATAAAATTAAAGGTTAACAAAATTGACACTTGAGTGACTCATTTACACTTCTTATACATATTTGAAAGGAGATAAGTTTAATTTTTCCCCCATGTGAGTACCATGCAAATATCTGTATCTACCTATCTACCTACCTATACATAAATGCATATATAAACATACATATTTATATGTACATATTCATATGCACATGTGTGCATATGAATATGTACACACTAAAATAAATGTTGCTAGAAATCAAAATCAGATCATCTAGTGTCCTCCCCAGAAAGGCAATAAGTAATGTTCCAAGGAGTTTCTGGGCAGGGGGCAAGAAAGGAAATGGATAGGGACAACAAAATCCCAACAGCAAAGCTTCCTCTGCAGCAACAATAAGCCCAGTGAGAATGTTTGGAGAACACTGAGCTTTAGACAATAAACCCATTGTGTTGGCATCTCAGAACACAAGCCTCTCCTAGGGTAATTTGGGCTTCCAAATTCTCCTTGTATAGAAGAATATGAGCCACTCAGCATCATTTTAGACAGACTGTGGTTTTGGCCTGTCTTCATGAACCCCACGCTTTGCCAGGGCACTTAACTCCAGACTCTGTGAACTACTTCTCGGGTTCGTGAATGAGCTGCTTTTCCCTGCTACCTGCCTCTACGTAACAACCTCAACAAGTCGCTGACAACCAGTTTTAAGTTTGCTGTTCTCCTGTGACTCCCTCCACAAGCTAGACGCCCAGTACAAATAGCGATAAGTGTTGCCAGCACAGAACAGATATAGAAAGATGCCCCCAAGACCCAGAGATTACATCATCTTCTCAGAATTAAACTAAGAAAACCCATACTTTTTAATTTTTTATTTTTTTCAGATTCAATGTAATTTATTTTTAATTACACACATATTGCATGAATAGAGTTTCATTGTAGAACACTCCAACATTTTATTTATTTATTTAATTTCAGCATATTATGGAGGTACAAATGTTAAGGTTACGTATATTGCCCATGCCTCTTCTCCCTCCTCGAGTCAGAGCTTTAAGCGTGACCATCCCCCAAACGTTGCACAGCTCACTCATTGTGTTTGTGTATACCCATCCCCTCCTCCCCCTCCCACCCGCCCAATACCCGATAATAAATGTTTTTCCTATACGTCCACTTAGGTGTGGATCCATTAATACCAATTTGCTGGTGAGTACATGTGGTGCTTGTTTTTCCATTCTTGAGATACTTCACTTAGTAGAATGGGTTCCAGCTGTATCCAGGAAAATACAAGAGGTGCTATATCACCATTGTTTCTTAGAGCTGAATAGTACTCCATGGTGTACATATACCACATTTCATTAATCCACACATGTACTGATGGGCATTTTAAAATTAATGGGGCACATGAGGCTTTCCTGATCCGGCCCCCTATTTGTCCTTGTAGCCACATCTCTTGCAACTACCACACAGACCCATTCTATCTTGCAGCCAACCTGGGCAACTGACGCTCATCTGGGTACCTCTGGCCTTCATGTGCTTCCTGCCTTTTCACAGATGTTCCCTCTGCTCATCTGTCAGTCCCTCACTCACCTGCACCTCTTCAGCCCATGGCTCAAGCATGTCACCTACTCTTGAAAGTATTTTTTTTTATTCCACGCCCACTCACCGCCAAATTGGCTTCCTTTTTTTAGTCTTCCATGTTCTTCTACTTTCTTCCTTCACCACCCCATTAAAAGCATCTATTATAGAATTTAGAATAGCAGGCCCTCTATTATGGAATTTAAAACTGCCATCACTAATGTCCTTCCCTGTCCCCCAGACAAGACTTGATGGACAGAATGTGCCTCGTTCACATATGAATTCAAAGGGCCTTGTAGAGGACAGGGCTCAGAGTTGGGATTCCAGGGTTGCCAAATTAATGGAGAGTGAAATGGCACATGACAAATACAGTTAAGGAGACTAGAGAGGCTCCCAATTCTAACCATCATGAACAGGAGACATCCTCAGAATTGCAGTATAACCAAACCTGCCTCAAATGGAACACGGGTTGTAAACTGATTTACTTCCTCAAAAGACGTTTTCATTTGTACTCCTTTAAGGCTTTCGTTATTTAGTGGCAATTTCCTTTCTAATCTCACCTCACACTCCAGCTCCCACATTCTCAGTACAAGTTTCATCCAAACTGGATTTCTTTTAGGGTCTGGAATCCAACAGATTCTTACTTTCTTCCAGCCCGTATACATATTCTCTACTCTACCCAATGCTTTCCCCAAAACCAAATCTTTGGCCTTAACAACTTCTATTAGTTTTTCTGGTTTCAACTTCGACAGCACCACCTATTAGAGTAGAAGTCTTACCTAATCCTACAGACTAGAGTTAGATCTACCTTATCTATCTTCCCACAAAACTCCACACTTTCTTACATATGATATTTATCTCATTCTGTTAGAACAGCACATTTATTTGTTTGTCATAGCCATTGTATTTGCCTTTATATTGCCAGCATCTAATAAAGTGTCAATTATCATATAGCTAAAGGGCATGCAATATTTTCAGAAGGTGAAATTATTTTTAAAAACAGGAAAGAGGAAGAGAAAGAAGAGATATTTTGATGGGATGCTGCTTCCTTTTCAGTTAGGAGCCAAAAGCAATGGTTGTCAAAGGCTCGGACATTTCAAAGTAAGATGCTTGCACATCTATGAGGGACTGAAAAAGGAGGTGGCTTACAGCTGATTTTGCAAGTGCTAGCTTAATATCTACATTAAAGGAACAAATGGCTTAAACAGACTTTAGAGACTGATTGTCATTGAAGCATGCTTTGAATTCTATCTT